ATTAAGAAAAGAAATATATACCCAGTCTACTAGCTTTGGTATATTTAACACTTATAACCTCTCCCCATGTGTGGAGGTGGGAGAACTGACCCGGGCACTGATCATCGCTCCTGCATACATCACTGGTGGCAACTTCTTCATCATCAATCGCTCCTTCATACTTACAGTAAGGGCTGCAGCACATCTGTTTCCCGGTATTTTTATCTTTTCAATAAAGTAACCTTAGAATGGGTGATCCAGTTTCAATAAATTTGATAACTGGATTTTGGGGTGTTGACTGTAACAAAATAGCTTGATTTCAAGAAAATGAAATATTTGTTGAATGACTTGTGGTCTGCACATAGGTGGAATTCAAAGAGTTAGTGTACATTTTATTTGGAGCAATACAGCTCTAATGTGAATATATGCTACACACATCTGACGAGCAATGATGGGTAACCGATGATTATAGCAACGTACAATATCGTAGGTAACTGAATGGCAGGTGCCCGATACACTTTCCTGACTACTGCAACTCCACATTTGGTCTTTTGAAATACTGTACTCTACAGTCTTTGTAGATTTAAATCGGTATGGCATTTAACAATGGCTTGTTAAAACTGGTCATGTCACAGGGATGTTTGGAAGAATTTCTTTAGTGCAAGGGTAGTGAGCCAGGGCAATTGGTTAGAAAGGGAGTATGCTTATAAAAATATGTTTATTAAATATGCTTATTTAGTAAACAACTTCATAATTTGATGCAATAGCAACCAAGAGGGTCAGGAGTCACTGGATAAGGCAATCAACAGCTGGTATGTTGGGGCTCAACATTTGGATGAATACATTTTGGCATATGCACATGCACAAATTTATTTAGAATACTACTGCACATACAGCGTATGCGAGACCAGTCTTAGAACATGCAGCACCTGCATGAAACCTAAACCATAAATAGAAACTTCAGAGGGTTCAGAGAATTAGCATTTTAAAAGCACTACAATCACCTGTGGTCGATTTTTCAACATATCACTGCAGTGTGTGTTTAACATATCTCTAATCCTGTCCCATGGAGGACAGAAGAAAATGTATATATGCTGGTTAGCATTCTAAATGTGTGGCCACATCTGTGGTAAAAAATAATACAAAAAAAAACAGGCTGGTCCCAGACCTAAGAGAACAAAGCAATAAGTACATGCCAAGTTGAGCCAAATACCACTGCACAACGGGGAAACCAGAGGATATAGAGACTAAAAGCATTGCATAGGTAGAAAAAGGACAGTCTGTTCCTACCAAGAGAAAATTGAATGAGAGGGCACATGTGGAAGCTAGAAACACAGAAGAGCTAAATGCCTTGAGGAAATGTTTGTTGAGTGTATAAATGGTAAACAAGTGGAATAAATGAAGGAAAGTGGTGGATATAAAACAACATTAAAAGATTAGGAGTAGCTGTACGAATCTAGTGATAGGTAGAAGGCAGGGCCCAAGAGCTAGGCCTCTCATAAACACTAATGGATAAGTACTTTGTGCACAAATTAGTTTAATTCCAACATATACTGCTTTACTGTTTGAAATTGTGAAAATCGACAATTACTCCAGTGTACAATTCTTGTACATTTCAATGCACTAAGGAACACGGCCTTCCTGCCATTTTAACACCAATGATAAGATAACTGGAAAACTGATATTGTAATACTGTACCATGAATTAAGTAAGGTAGTTGTTTTAGGTAACTTTCATGTTTCAGGTGATGAGTGTCGTGGCATCCTATTTCATAGTGATTCTCCAGTTTATGCAGTCTTGTAGTACTTCAGGCAACAACTGTGTGCCAACCAACCTCACTCTTGAGGTGTCCACATGATGTCCTGCGCACAAACCCTACTTTGTGGGTGACAGTCGTGGCATACTCCCTCAGGTTCACTTTGAGAGGTGTCCACCAAGACCATCAACCCCACACTGTTGTCCAGTTGATGTCCAAAACCATTCTTGGGATGTCTCTTCAATTGCCCCATCTCCCAACCATGGAACAATGGTTGCAAGATGAAACTAACCATGGAACTTCATGAAAATAGAATCTATTTCACCATTACATGACATTTTTGGCTACTGTGACACCAATACATGATCTGACAATTTACATTATCTATACTCTGTAGATACACATAGTGAACCAATGAACATGATAAATGGCACTACAGTATGGGAAAACACGAATAGCAATTTGTCATAAGCAGTGAACGTCTTATAGTTTTTGGTTTGGCATCCCTGCATGTTCATTTTGTGATTATTATTTATTATTACTTTATATATTTTGTAATGACTATTGTTTATAATTATTGTGTAACTCTACTTGTATTATAGATTTATTCCTGAAGTAGAGTATTTAGTTTGGGAGAGGGGGGAGGAGAATACCCACAACAGGAGGTTGTAGTGCCATGGACAAACTTCCAGCAAGTATTGCATTGACATAGAGACGAAAATATTCCCAGATAGAGCATTTGATACCTCTAAGGACAAATCAAGGTCTAGGGGGTGTGAACAATAAAAATAGTTGTTGGTATATGGAGAGTGCTAGTAGACTCACCAAGATGAACATGTTTACCTGAAGTGACCTTGAAACTCTTAAGATGGTCTCAATATCACCATGGTAATCTTGAAAATCCCTGCTTCCAACAGCAAGATGGGACTAACCAGAACCTCACAAATGAACGGGATTGCAGCCAGGTGGTCATATTGTTCTTGACATTAGATTGCAACAACATGTGTTAGACTGCTGGGAATGGAAGGTAACATTCAAGCCAATGAAAGGAAGCAGGTAGAGACGTAACTGGAGATAATCGGCAATTCTTTCCATGTGGCGCACTCCCTTTCAACAGGGAAGACTACCAACACAAACCCTAGACAAAATTCCAAAGCCCAACAGTGTTTGCCCACAACAGCTCGAAGATCTCTCTCTCCCTGAGACCCATATCCATACACTTATTGCACTTATCCATACGATTAGGAAGTCCCACCTGAGCAAGCCCTCCAGCAGGTGGTCCAACGACTCAAACATGGTATTGTATTTTTTTTATTGGGTATTTGAGTCTATGCCACTTCAGCAGATGTGAGAAAGAGGTAGAAGCCACCAGCACCGGCCCAAGAGTGGTGCAGTGCCCCCTCACTACATTATGGCAATGCTCATTTGGGGTTTGTTGGAAGTTTGGAAGTCTTGTTTCTCTCGTTGGCAGCTCAATAGACTTACCTGCAGGTTAAACCATGCCTGTGCAGTCCTTTACCTAGGCCATATCCAGCTACAGCATCGGTACTAGTTTCTCTGTACAATTGCTTAGCACTGACTTTAGTGCTACATAGCCTTCCTGGCTTGGTGCCTTCTTTGATAATATCTAAGCACAGGCTTAAGGAACCAACAGGTGTCTTCTCCACTGCCTTGCAAAGCTTGCTGCTTCAGGAATTTTTATTAGTAGCTTTTCCACGTCTCCTTTTCATTGAAGTTTCCTCTCTCCATCTCTTGAATCCTCAAAAGATAACACAAACCCCTAGTTGAGTCTGTAGGCAAGTCTGCAACAGGCAGGTCAAGGTTGTTGGGCCCAGTCCCTTGCCCAGGCATGTATAAAAACTGTATGATGAAATTGGTAGCAGTGTGGTTGAACTTGAATGATTGGATCTCTCAAGAGATCCATTGAATCTTGACTACAACTATCAGTGAGGTAATGCTTCAACAAGTAAGGCTCGACCAGGTCCCTGCTGCTGTGGCAATGGATATTGACTGTAATTACTCTTCTAGCTTACATTCAAAGTGTGCTGAATTTCATTCCTGTTTTCATCAAACAAGACAGAGTGGGAGGTGGACATTGAAATTGCCAACCATTAAGTTGGATATTCATGTGTCCACACACAACCACAAGGGAGCCGGTCGGCCGAGCGGACAGCACACTGGACTCGTGATCCTGTGGTCCTGGGTTCGATCCCAGGCGCCAGCGAGAAACAATGGGCAGAGTTTCTTTCACCCTATGCCCCTGTTACCTAGCAGTAAAATAGGTACCTGGGTGTTAGTCAGCTGTCACATGCTGCTTCCTGGGGGTGGAGGCCTGGTCGAGGACCGGGCCGCAGGGACACTAAAAAGCCCCGAAATCATCTCAAAATAACCTCAAGATAACCAAGCTGCCTGACTATGTGCCTCCTTTCCATAATCATAATGATTCTGCAGTGGATGCTATGCACATAGCACCTCTCAAATAATTTCTCTTTCCAGTCATGCTGTTGCTTCAAGTCCTTGAGAAACTAGTCCTTTCAGTGCCATGGTCGTCCTTGGGGCCCCTATCCCTACTTGTGGCCTGCTCAGTCATGGTTCACTTAGTCTTTTGGCTAGTTATCCCAACCTGTTTTCCTCTCTCACTTTGTGTCCATGCAGGTTGTCTGTTGAATATATTCATGCCATACAAATACATTGCACAAGGTCTTGAACTTGTATTAGGTGTCAGATGATGATGTTTTAGATTCAGCTACACAGTACAAAAAGTTCCAAGTAGCATGGGCTATGGTGACCCCGTAGTGGACTTGTTAGGTGTCAGATCTCGTTAGTTCATGATGTACTTTTCATTTTGTGATTGTTTTTTCTCTCTCTTTAAGGGAACTTACCTTAAGGATAACCAAATGTGAATACAGGTGCATAGAAATATACAGGTACCTCTGAATAAATATGAAAAGCAACTTTCCAAGAACAAGCCATTCAGTTGCACCTTGCTCACTCCCTTGCAGTTGCATGGAATTTGTCATGAAGAACGTAAACAGTGACACACCTGGGGATTCATGTTGTGGTTAAGGCAATGACATCTGCTGGCAGTCGGGGGTACTATGCAGTTTGGCGTAGAGGTTATCGTTTGATTCCAAGAAAGAACTCTATGGCCGAGTTTACAGGAAACCTACATTTAGTCTTGTCATTCTAGTCATCCCAAGCACCTTGCATAACCCTGTAAGCTGTTATGATACTTATCTAGAGGACACAGATCTCATCTATGGGCAGTAACAGAATGAAAGTTTTATTTTTGTACACACTCATGTATAAAAATTTATAAGGATAATACTATATTAAAATTAGTAATGAAGATAGGTTGCATTAAACAGTCATCTCTACAGCATCATGCTGACATTATCATCAGTAGCATTCTCAACACACATTAAAACATTAAAATAGAAACACTAATTACCATAAATCATTTAATAAATAATTTATTTGTTATAAACAAAAAACTACATTCAGTAATTTAATAGCTCTCTATTATCTAAAGCCCTCTAAATAATATAACATTTTATAACAAAAGTTTATTAACAAAATATAAACAACAATTTACTTTGTAACTTTGACAAAAGAATTGTTTGTGTAATTCAACAATTATATAATTATACCCCAAAATTAAGGACAATACAGTACAGCTAATACAAATAATTTGTACACATACATGTAAATTATACGCAGCAATGTCATTAAGTGAATGCATCAAAAGTCCAACTTCTAAAAGTAATCATTTCATTATAGTGGCATGCAGGTGTTGTGCGGGTTTCTGTGTTCTTATCATCAAACACATCCCACAGAGCACTCCGAAGGCGCACAACAAGAGCTGGCCGCAATCTGAGCGAAGACAAAAAATATTTCAGCGACTGTAGACGACACAAATTCTGAACATTAATCATAACACTAGATGGCGACTCGATAACAAGGTGTCTTAATCACGTGATCGGAAAAGGTTATCATCCTTGATTATCCAAACCAATGGATGCCTGCGGATGTTTGGATAACTGGGGAAAATATCATGCAATGTAATTGGGGAGGCTATAGGTCCGGCTGGCTGGGAGGCAGCTTCTGGTACCTCTACACCAACATTGCTCAACTGGCAACGTCATATTCCCTCTCTCGCTCCTCTTAATTCATATCCAATTCCACTAAAAACTCTATCTTCCTCTTAAGTGTTATTTTGTATAAACCTAGCACATTACGTTTCCTTATTAATAAATTCTATCCTATTTTATTCTTAATAAATGTCTTACATGGGCCACACTGCTCTTTTCACCATCATCACTATCCAGCATCCCATGTGAGGTATGGAGACAGAAAATAGTAAGGAGAGAGAAATAAGGAGACAAACAGTATGGAGCTACAGCAGCATATAGACATGAAAATAGTATAGAGACATAGAAAAGCAGTACATGAAAACAAGATTCAAGATTAATGAAACATAGCAAAAGATAATACAGGAGTAAAGAAATTAACATATAATGTAAGTATTTTACCTGTGTGAATCTTGTCAAATTTTATTTGGCATTTACATTACTTTTTCAGGATTTTTTTAGTATGAATTTTTTTTTTTTTTTTTTTTTTTTTTTTTTTTTTGAGATATATACAAGAGTTGTTACATTCTTGTACAGCCACTAGTACGCGTAGCGTTTCGGGCAAGTCCTTAATCCTATGGTCCCTGGAATACGATCCCCTGCCGCGAAGAATCGTTTTTGCATCCAAGTACACATTTTACTGTTGCGTTAAACAGAGGCTACAGTTAAGAATTTGCGCCCAGTAAATCCTCCCCGGCCAGGATACGAACCCATGACAGCGCTCGCGGAACGCCAGGCGAGTGTCTTACCACTACACCACGGAGACTGCATTAATTCTAATTATTCTACATATCTCCAGTAATTCATCCCCATGTAAAATAAAGATTACCTGTGATTTAAATAAGAATGAAAATAAATAAATAATGAAAATATTAACAAATCTGAAAAGTGCAAAATATAGGATTGTTAGGACTTGAATGCAACAAACTTTTGGTGTCAACACAGAAGAACCTACTGGGAAGAATGTAAAATAACAAAATACACACACACACACAGCACACTATCATTTTTACACAAGGGCCGACTTTCAACGTAAGAAAGAGTTTGTTGCTTTACTATCCACTGATAAATAATTATAATAATTTATTCACAAGAAGGTACAATGGGTTGATTAGATTACATAAGATTGATATTTTTACATTCTTGCAAAAGCCACTGACATGCATAGTGCTTCATGTCTAGATTCCATATGTCAACAAAGTCAAAACTACATCACATCAAATGTCAATTCTAGAATCCATATACCCAGTATCAACAAAGTCACACAAAATGTCAACTTACAAATTTTTGTACTTTCTGGTGAGCTTGGCACACCTGTCCTTGGGTGTGTGGCTGCCAACTATGAAGACAAACACTAAACTTGTCCTCTTCTCAATGCAGCTCTCTATAGCAGCAATGTCAAGGGCATGTGCATCTCTCTCGGAATGAATAAACAACCTCTCCAGCTTCTCACACTCTTCCAGGGACTTAAATATTGCTGTCCCAGGAGCTAGGTAGTTTTGCTCAATTCTGAAAAATCCAGCGGTGAATGTAATGAAACGCCATTTTCTGGGTGAGACCCGGAGGCTCCCTGGAACTATACCGGGTTGATGTGTACTGTATACATGTATATTAGACCGTGTCATCAGTCAATTGAAGGAGTTCTAAGCCTACTGGGGACCAGAGCCAGAACCTTGCCTCCTCAAGAGAGGTACGAGGAGCAGGCCGTTGCTCCTCGTGCCTCTTTTGAGGGGGCCAGGTTCTGACTCTTGTCCCCAGTAGGCTTATAACTCCTTTAATTGACTGTTGCCACAGTCTAATATATACACATCAGCCCCGATATACAGTAGCTCCGGGGAGCCGAAGGGGCTCTCCACAGAAAGATATATTTATGCTGGAAAAAATAACTGCACAATAATGACATCAAGACAAAAAAAAATTATTACAAAAGGTAGGAAGATAGTGAGGCAATGTGATGAGATCAACACATCATATTATTGTGATGTCACTGTGCATTTACAAAAGGTTGTTAATATGTACATACTCGTAACTGCTTTTGTACACAAGTTTATCCAAGCCCACACTGGCATTTACTCAGGAAAAAGTCAAATATGATAGCTCAGAAATCAAAATTAACCATCACAATTCCTACTCTTACCTTTAAAACAAATCTGAATGCATAACAAATATTAAAAAATTTTGATATTACCTGAGATGAACAAGATTTCTGCATGTACGAAGGGCCTGTGTTATGGAAGTCATATAGCAACATTTTCCCGAAGGTCCCAAATGTTTCAAACGAAGAAATTCTAACTTGGTGCATCCTTGAGCTATCTGGAAAAAATAGTAATTACTCGGCACCCTTTACATTTATCTAAACTAAATAATGTTGTCTTTATATCATACTTATAAAATAATGCACATGGTCCGCAGTGGTTCCCAGTTGCTGGCCACGTTGTTAGCTCCACCCAATTTAAGTCAGACCAGCCCCTTGAACGTTATTAAAATCCTATTGGGAACCAGAGACCAAAATCTGGCCCCCATCAGAGGTACAAAGAACAGGGGGATGTTACATCACCCAACTGAGAAATGCGCTATTAGAATGGTAGAAGAAAACAAAACAGAGAACAATGATGCAAATATAAAAAAACTCAGACAATGAGTAACACAGTAGTTAAGCATTCACCCTCTGTTAGCAGTTACCCACCACCAGGTGGCAGCACCAAGGGCTCAGAGATCAGCCAGTGTAGCTACTCGGTCAGGAGCTGACTAAAAGGCACAACCAACATGTCTGAAAGGAAAAGGGGAGGGTTCAGGGAGCAACAAAGGTTCCACCAGGAAGAGGTGTTTCATTACATTTAATGCTGATTTTTCTGGGATGACTCCACTGGTGGCTCCTAGTTGCTATCTCACCACAGAGAACAAAACACAAGGAGGAACTTGCCAGGGGTGGAAGAGAGCAGAAGTCAATTACCTCCCAAAGAAGGGACCAAGACGACTCGGGAGGCAAATGAGAAGACCGGAGGTGAAGACACACACAAGCCAACTTGCGAAACAGCTCCGCCAGCACCCAACAATACAAAGAATAATGGGGTCAAGAAGAGAAAGTGCAAAGCCATTTAAGGTAACAGCATTTGCCATGAGATGCCGATCAATGAACCACCAGGACAAAAAGACAGGACCACCAGAATTGAAACAAAAGACATGTACCAAAGAGACATAAAAAGACAAATAGAGTGCAAAGAATCTTCATACAGTACTGCCAGCCAAGCGAAAGACAGGTGTGACACCAAGAAATCGACCACCTGTGGACCATACAGTGAGACCCGAACCAGAAATTACAGACATGACGATCAGAGAAGAGTTCCTCGATGGTTCCTCAAACCATCAAGGAACATCTCTGAACCGTTCTTCTAAAAGAAGCAGAGCTAGGGAAAAGCGTGGATTTGGACAATGGGTCTGAAATAATGACTGAGCTGACCACCAAGACACCAGAAGACTCACCCCTGCCTGGAAACATCTCCAATCTGAAAAGCACCAGGAGCAATAGCCGAACTGAAGGGGAGAAATACAGGAACTCCCACCGACTCCAGTCCAGCTGAATGGCATCCACTTCAAGTATTGCTACAATCACCTTCTGTGGTTCATTGTTCAATAAATCAGTGACTTATATGTTTAACAATTTTCTAACCCTGTCTATGGAGAACAGAAGAAAGTGTATATATGCTGGTTAGCATTGTAAATGTGTGGCCATGTCTGGGGAAAAAAATTCAAAAGCCTTGCGATTGCAAAATGCAGCCACATAGGATGGAAGCCACCAGTTTTGTGGTGGCATGAAGAGATCCAACTAGGAACAATGACATTCTGCAAAGCATACAGAAGGAAGCAGATACCCCACTTCTGTATGAATATTGTAGAGTAGAAGAGTAAATGCTGACTTGAGTGCTATGGCCTGAGAATCTGACACCTTTGGAAACCTACCTGGACAACAACAGATGAGGCATAAACACTAGAAGACAGCCCCCAAGCAGCATGGACAGAACCCAACTGCAAAAGATGATCTAGGAGCTGGAAGGCAACAGCTGCAGCCAACATGGTAGAGGCAACAGCTGCAGCCAACATGGTGGAGGCAACAGCTGCAGCCAACATGGTAGAGGCAACAGCTGCAGCCAACATGGTAGAGGCAACAGCTGCAGCCAACATGGTAGAGGCAACAGCTGCAGCCAAAATGGTGGAGGCAACAGCTGCAGCCAACATGGTAGAGGCAACAGCTGCAGCCAACATGGTAGAGGCAACAGCTGCAGCCAACATGGTAGAGGCAACAGCTGCAGCCAACATGGTGGAGGCAACAGCTGCAGCCAACATGGTGGAGGCAACAGCCATCTCAGGAAATACTAGAGATGAAAAAGGGGTGGCGGAGGAAATGGAAAAACACCAAGTCAAACCTAAAGCATGGGATAACACAGCTTAGTGGTACCCCACCAAGAATAAAAATCCCAGGGCAGATCCATGGTCTGTGCAGAACATTGAGAAGACAGAAGAGAGCTGCCCCTACAACAAGGAATGATCTGCACAGATTAAATCCCAGAGAAACTTAAGGCAGTGGATCTTTGGTGGGATATAACTGTTGAGCTACTTCCACTGCCGACAAGGAAGAGGCAAATCCCAGAGAAGACCCTGCTACACACAAAGAAACACCAGCTCCAGACTCCGAAACTCTCAGATGTCTCGAAGCCTGGAGCAAAGGACGGGGACAAGAGCCCCTGACACACCTCACCAGAAGGATCGATAGAAAGGGATGGAGGGGAAACTTAGAACAGGTGGAACCCACTTTCTGCTACAACACTGAATCTTGAAAAGACAAAGGGGGTCAACTATGAGGCATCCACATTAGCACCAAGCCACACGTAATAAATTTGGGAAAATCAATCCAGTAAAAGTGCTGCTGCCTGATGAAGCCTCAAGATAAAACAGACCTCCACCAACGACATACATTGCAGGCCTCGGAGTGTAATGTATCACCCACCCAACAAGTGACATGGCAGAGACATTATGAATGATCATTGGCATGTAGCAAGACCAATGAGCATCCCTCAAACTTGTAACCAGCAAGTGTGGGCTTGGCGGGCCAGTTCATCCCGAAGCACACCAAAGATCTTGCAGGGTTTCCAGAACCTGAAGATAAAGACCAAGCAGGGATTCCAGGCATACAGGCCAGTCGCTAAGAGGAACTGGCATGAAACACAGCTCAATAGACAAATGAAGGGCATTAGTAGCATGCCATGTAAAAAAGCCCATGCACCTCTGGGCATCCCAAGAAACCCCAAATGCCCCTAACACTAAGAGGAGTCACAAACCCTTGCTCTATCCATGGTGAGGTGCCCTCCACAGTGGATAGCCTCTCAAGGACAGACACCCGAACCCAAGAGGAAAGGCAACCCCCTGTCAGGACACGAACAACATCTGTGAGTACCTAGGGGAAGTCAACCATGGAGCATGGAGCTCCAGGCAAAGGAGCTCCATGGGAGCTCCTTTGCTCCAAGACTTGGGAGCTCCAAGTCATGTATTGACTTGGAGCTCCAGGAACTCCATGTCAATACATGGAGCTGCAGGCAAACAGTTTCTGAAAGTCCATTCAACACTCACTCACTATAAAATATTAAACATTGGCATGTAAACACTCTCATAAAGCAAATATTAAACATTGGAAAAATACACATGCAAATGGGGCCTTCCCTGCAGGATGAACTCCGAAGATGGCCAACACTTATCTGCTGAAAATTTGAAATCTGTAGAGCTTAAAGCGTCTCAAGGAGCAGTAACAGCTGTGGCTACACCAGGCGACTGACTGGAGAGATTTGCCAGCTGAGCCAGTAGCGTCCAGGTGCTGTCACCAGGTGGTGAACATATGCTACTAGAAGGGGGGACAACCTAACCACTGAGTGGACTGTTTTCTAAATTGTTTACATTTTCCTTGCTGTTTTGGTTTGCTCTAATCTTCTGGTGGTTGTTCCTTGATGAGGGTGACCACAGACCTCGTGTCAGGGGAATCAGGTTCTGACCCCCAGTAGACTTTTACTGACTTGCCTGGTGTGACTCAATAGGTAGGGAGCTAACCAGGGGCCAGATTCATGAAAGCACTAATGCAAGAACTTACGAACCTGTACATTTTTTCTCAATCTTTGGCAGTTTTGTTTACAATCATTAAACAGTTAATGAGCTCCGAAGCACCAGGAGGCTGTTTATAACAACAACAGTTGAATGGCAAGTTTTCATGCTTGTAAACTGTTTAATAAATGTAACCAAAGCCGGTAAAGATTGAGGAAAGATGTACACGTTCGTAAGTACTTGCGTAACTGCTTCGTGAATCTAGCCCCAGAGCAGCAAGCTATAGGGGCGCCACCAAGTGGCTCCTCCAGAAATTGGATGGTGGTATGGTGGTTAGCTATGTAACTACCATACAACCATAGGCCAGGCCTTGGAAACCTGGACAAGGGTTTATGGAGCACTAGATCTGAATGTCACATAGGTGTTGACTTACTATTCTTGTTAAGAGACATGTCAGTGGTTGTATAATAAAGATACCTACCTAATGGTTGTCACAGTTATTATTAAAATAACACTATATAAACACTAAAAGGTGGAGGGAATGTTGGCTCTGTCCAACATTCCCTTCAGACACAAGCAAGCCCGCAGGAAATGAGACATATATGTATGTATACATTTTTAACATACAACTGGTAAAATTCTCACCAACTACGTGCCTTACCTCAATAAAAAATCTTCCATTAGTTATAGGGATCCCATCAAGTGTAAGATGTGTAAGCCTTTTCAGCTTCTTTATGTTTTCCAAACATTCCCAATGAATTTTAGCTGGGCTGCATGAGGCACTGTGAAAAATTAATACAGTTTATTACCCGTTTCCATTTGTAAACTATAAAATGGGTAATTACTATGACATCTTTTACTAACTTTACTAGCTCAAAACATAAGCTATCCTAACTCGCAACCATTTTTTTCTTATATTATGGGGGATGTTTATGATGACCAAACCACACACTAGAAATTGAAGAGACGACTACGTTTCGGTCCGTCCTGGACCATTATCAAGTTGATTGATGTCCCAATCAACTTGATAATGGTTCAGGACAGATCGAAACATCGTCATTTCTTCAATTTCTAGTGTGTGGTTTGGTCAACGTTTTCAGCCACATTAATGTGACTTTTCATCTGGATGCAGATGCAGAAGAAAAAATACCCTAAGACAGAGCCAAGATTTCCTTCAGGCACAAGCAAGCCTGCAGGAAATGAGAAGTATCAACCAAGAAAGTCACTGAACCTCAGGACAACGAGCCCCAGAAACCTACCAAGGAAATTACGGAAATGTGGAGGATATAGGACAGTTGCCTCTGTCAGCAACGTGAATGGGGCAACCCCAGCCTGAAGCCACTTTAGGGCCCGAACCTACAGAGAAGGCTGAGAACTGAACGAACAGAATCAGAATGGACCAGACCTATGACAGCAGACAAAGAGGTATCAAAAGGAAAAAAGGAGCCAACTGCATAGAATGATAGTCTATACAGTTGGCTTATTTGACAAGTGGTCAAAATCAGCCACTTGACTAGTACTACCTTCCTTGAACAGCAGTTACCATAACCCCACTCCCTGGGTCTGAAAAGGGCTACCAAAGGCAATAGCCTTAGGTAGCCATTTGGTAGCCTTTGGTCTAGCCCTCAGGTCTGAGGGCCAGACCTGAGGGCTACTATGCACTCAGGGCCACTCAATGCAGCCACTATGTGAAAAGTCACCAACTGGGTAGCCATCTCGTCAAAAACATCACACACCTGAAAGTTTTAGGAGTCTAACTCAATGAATAAGGACAGCAGCAACAAAATTTAACATCACTGACCCAGAGGTTTTAACACAAATAATGGAGAACCCCCACACAGAAGTATGCAAGACAAGTCACTTCATATTGATGGTGAGAATACAACCCAATATTCATTAATATTTTTGCTAACTGTCCCCACACGAGTGCCAGTAGCTCCGATAAAAAAAAAAAAAAAAAAAAAAAAAACTGCAAAGATCCCGGAATGACATAAATATAGCCAACCATCTGTCTGAACTAAGGAATAGAATCTATACTGGGCTTTTTTCTAGAAAATAAAGGAACCTAGGAGGGACCGGCCACAAGAAAGCAAGCGGGATTAAGTGACCTAGAAAAGTCTCCGTCTTCTCAAGGCCTGGAAGAAGCAGCAGCATAATTAGAAGAACAAGTTCAAATCTCTCACAGATGTAAATTCCCATGCATGGCATCCATGACACACACACCTCAGTGTTGGTAACTAAAATGTTTCCCCGTCTCACTCTCATGAGCCTAGTCCTGAGGACACAGCTAGTAGTTAAGTGTCTAATTAATAGTAAATATAATCTTACTTTCAGAAGACTAATAACCATGATCAATGTTGTTGTTGTTGTGTGAGCTCAAGGAGAAAAGTAAATATAATAAACTAATGTATTTCTTAATATTATTCAGCAATATATTTTTAACTATTTAATGCTTAATGTAATAAAAAAACTTACAAAATGAACATAAACATACCTTGTATTAAATCCAATTTCAAGCATTTTCATCATTGGACAGTTTTCAAACACTAAATTAAAGGCTGCAATTTCAATTTCCGACAAATTGCTTGTACTGGGAACCCCAACTCTCTTTCTTTTAAATCCAATACTGACTAAGTTATCTGGTTGGGTGATGCAAGTCTGCTGATGCCGAGTTTCTGAAAGTATAAATTAAGCATTGAATGTAACGACACTTTACTAGTCAGTTTCTGTAACTCCTGGGTGCACTGACTATAGCACCACCAAGACAGCCATAGTGTTATTGGCCCTCCAGACCTGCACAAGCCTACCGAACACCAAGAAAACAATCAAGTGAGCTCAAAGATGGGAGAGCAGCATGATTTAAAATCAACCCAAAACTGTGTAAAAAAAACTAGAAAGTACACAAGAAGCAAAATAAACTACCTATCTTGTTTAAAGAGGAAAAGGTGGAGGGGAAACCAGAACATTTTTTATTTACTCTATGTCAACAATCAATGTGCTACTACCCAAGTATGCCACCAGATGGAAGCTCAGGTCACCTCTAGGTCCCGCCAACCCACATCCTTAGTCAAGCGCTGACACCCAAGATGCACCCAATCCTCACAGGAAAATAAGGCAAAGTGATGGTACAGGTAGCTGCCAAAGCAGGGAAGAAATGGGGAGTCATTATACAGTACAGTATTCAACACTTTGGGCTGGCACAGTCTCTATGTCTGGGAAGGCAGAGTCTCAAGAATGGGGACAAGAGAGAAAGGCCAGTAACTGGCAGAATAAAAACTGGCAGAATGACATGGCCCACAAAGGTCTCCAATCAGACAAACAAGAGTCAAGAGGCGGCGGCACTAGACCATAGAAATGAGTTCAAGGAAAGCCCACCAATTCCAGTCCAAGGAAAAAGTGTCTAATGCAAGCAACTGAAAATCAAGAAAAGGAGTAACATAAAGAAGCAGCCTTCGATTCCACACTGAGGCAACTAGATCCACCTGATGATGACCCAATCTGTCATATCCATCTCCCACTATTGTTGGACATGGCTGCTTGCAGCCTGATGTATGTATTACAGTCTGATTGATCAGTCTGATTGATTGATAGGGGCCTCGTAGCCTGGTGGATAGCGCGCAGGACTCGTAATTCTGTGGCGCGGGTTCGATTCCCGCACGAGGCAGAAACAAATGGGCAAAGTTTCTTTCACCCTGAATGCCCCTGTTACCTAGCAGTAAATAGGTACCTGGGAGTTAGTCAGCTGTCACGGGCTGCTTTCTGGGGGTGGAGGCCTGGTCGAGGACCGGGCTGCGGGGACACTAAAGCCCCGAAATCATCTCAAGATAACCTCAAGATAAGGTATATGGAAAGGAAATGGTTGAAGCACCCTCTCATAAGGCAGTGGACCAACTGAAGTGCAACCAGAGTGAAGCCAGATCCCACAGACCCACGGAAGAGGGATCTTCTTGAGGTTATCTTGAGATGATTTCGGGGCTTTAGTGTCCCCGCGGCCCGGTCCTCAACCAGGCCTCCACCCCCAGGAAGCAGCCCATGACAGCTGACTAACACCCAGGTACCTATTTTACTGCTAGGTAACAGGGGCATAGGGTGAAAGAAACTCTGCCCATTGTTTCTCGCCGGGATGGTGCCACCTTGTGTTGTGCTTACATATTAGTGCAGTTTACTGACATTGTCCAAACTACTACTTCTCTTGTTTACGAGTTTTACCCTCTTTAATCATGATACAGTTTATTTTGCTTTGCCCATACTTTTTAAATAGTTTTTCTTGGCTCTGATCCAGGTGCTGAAAAGATCTGAACAAGGCCATTAGCCTGAACAAGGCCATTAGCCTGGTTGTTTTGTGGCTCTCTCTCTGATACCAGAGACAATACACAAGGGACCTACTGATGGCCAGCCCAGAAATGCAATTAATTTGAGGGGCTGCAGTATTTTAAGCCTAAAAATATTCATTTAGGATAAATATTTCCTTTACTAACAGGCATGAATATAGTGGTTTAAGTTTCAAAAGGTGTGAATTGGTGCAAGTGTTAGCATAGCACATTCTATTATTTTCCCGATGGTCAGATGGAAATACTATACATATTTTCCTACATATACCCCTCATCCGCACACAACATTTCATCTTTTATTTTCATTGGGTTAGGCTCAGCCAAAGTTAGATTAGGTATGTTTATACAGCAGCGATGACATAGAGGAGTGCATATGTTTCTCAGGTCATAGAACCTGCTTGAACAGCGAGTACCACATACTGCAGCAAAGGCAGTGCATGTTCACTTTCTTCATCCCAGCAGGAGTCTTGCCTATGCATAGGTGACTATTAGTTTCTTTCCAAAGGTGGGTAAAGGATACTGATAATTCATCATTATATATTATATACATCCCTGGATAAATCATCAATATGTTGAGACCCAACTGATAAAAGGTATCAATCCTCAACACCCACCCCCACCAAGAAGGTGTTTTGAAGATAATTTTGAAGGTTGGAGAGTTCCTTATATAGAGCAGTGATATTGTTTCAAAAGTCGGCTGCCATCAGGTACTGTACCTTCAAGACCTCTTCCCCAAGCTGTCTGAGGCAAGGGTCAAAACAAAGTTTGAGAGGAATAATAGCCATTTTCTATACTGTACTGTATTTTGGAGGCATAAATAATCCAAAAATAGCACTTATTATCCAGAGACAAAAAATAAACACATTGGTTGTAATGTAATAAATATTAAACAAGGAGCAAAACCCATGAACAAATTCACTGTAGCTAAACCAAAGGAACATATAGTACTTGTAAGAATAAAAAAAACTGCAGAAGGCCTATTGGCCCAGAGGGAGCAGCTTCTATTGACCCAAATGAGGCAGCTTTTATTGGCCCAGAGGGAGCAGCTTCTATTGACCCAAATGAGGCAGCTTTTATTGGGCCATAGGGAGCAGCTCCTATTGGCCCATACAAGGGACTCCTACTGGTCCATACAAGGCCAGTAGGAGCCTTGTATAGGCCAGTATGGATTTATCCTATTTAATCAAATTGATGAAACTTAAAGCTCACCTATAAGTGCACAGACAGGTACTGTGAGGTGAGTTAAATGACGAAGTGTTGCGATGCCGTCGACAATCTTCGGGGGTCCTTGCTCGGGATGGCAACATATGCTCAGTCTCTCCAGCTTTGGTAGCATTTCACAAACTTTCTTCATATCCTGGAAAATACAGTATATAAAACTAAATTAAAACATATGAAAAAACCAAGAGGCTTTTTTGGAATGAGATAAGAAGTGTATCAAGAAAATGGATGAAAGTAAACAGCAATGTTAACCCTTTGGATGTGGCACCTCTGGTTCATCCCCCCCATACTTTTAGACTTTTCTTAGGTCTAAATGGAGGCTAGAAAAATTAGTTTAGTTAAATTGATATACTTTGCAGAAAATGAGCTGCTCTCTCCAATGGTATCATTAAGATACAGGAAACAAAATTAAAAGTAAAGAACCAGCGTTGAATGTAATGAAACGCCATTTTCTGGGTGAGTCCCGGAGGCTCCGGGGCTCCCCCAGAAATTAAGTTTTTACTACTGGTATTCTCTAATAGAGAATATGGCCTAATTAACTACAAAATATCAGGTCATAAGTGTTCCCAAGGCATACACTGTAATACATAATAAATATTACCAACTTGCTTAATAGTCAATTTTATATTTTTAATGAGGGATCTCCATTTAATGACATTTCGAACATGAAAAAGTGAAAATAAAACTTAAACTATAGCAGCACTTAATTCTAAATCACAAGATGACAGAAGACAATTATATTTCAACTTCAATGTTTCCTAAAGAAAATCTCTTTGCTCAACAGGAGCCCCTTAGTCTTTGATATTCCTCATTCCCAACTCACCAATGTAATATTGAGACCATACATGACATTCATGCTCTTGAGATTGGGACAGGAGCGGATGATGGAAGTGAGGTTAGTACATCGAGGAGCCTGGCCCTTCACCAAAAGTTCTTCCAAGTGATAAAGGGGTCCAGCCTCACGCAACATGTCCCACATGAGTGGAGTCAGTGCGAGGAATGCCCTTGAACATTTTTTTATTACAGCAATTTCATCACCTGAGAAGTAAAAATACAATTTGTTTTCTTTAACAATACATGCTGCATGTTTTCTCCTAATGCCCACCCCATTCATATGTACTTTATCTCTGATGCTTCATTCCCTACTAAGAAAATCAAGAAGCAAATGTTGTATGTAATAAAATTACCTTTTCTGGTGGGCTACTCAACACCTCATAGTTATGCCCAACCACTTGGCATAGACAGTAGAGCGATAGTCTCGCTTCATACAGGTCAGCAGCGGCATCAGGAGAGAGGAGATGTAGCACAAATTCTTTTGTCCTGCCATGGGAAATGAAGCCGGATGTTTTCGGGTGTGACCCAATTGCACTACCCATTAGACCATGTTAATGCCAGATACTGCTTCATTCTGACACTTGGCATCTGGTCTGGCATACATCATCAAAGTTTGGAGCAAATGACTGAACTATAGCAACCATGAGTATCGAGTTCATGTGTACAGCATTATGTTGAGAACTAAGCCAAGATTTGATAATGTTCATTACAGAAAAAGAAAGAGCTGTTTATAGACATATGTGCTTCCAAACATGCACATAATCTTTTATTATATTATTTACTTAACACAAATATCAGAGGCATCAAAAGGAACTGAGTATCACCGAGCTTCTTGCTACAGCTCATGAAACCAGAAAAGATGTACAGTACTGTAAATCCAGTTTTTTCCATTTTCTTAATTTTTGCATTAAGATATATTATGTTATAAGGCTAAATTATTACAAAACAAATGTAATTTTTTTCTGCATCGAGAGTTCTCAAGATACCACTTGATACACAGGCATTCTGGGACAAAGCATGCCAAAAGGCACTTGTGAGTGCCTTTTAGCACTCCCAAGCACCACTATGTCACTGGGGTGTACTACAAGAGAGCTGGTGGGAGAAAGCTCACCGACTACCACACCTAAGTAAATGGTGAGGATGCATCTGTAAAACAGCAGAAGCAAAAACAGACCCCACACATGCCTGAGCAACCACTACATCAGAACCCCTACCTCGGCCAGGAGTCTGAAAAATGCAGACACCACACCACTGGAAAGATGAAACCAACGCCACCAGCCTCGGCAAAAACTCCTCGCTGAATGGCTGAAAAGCCACACCAACCAAGTCTTCCTTACCAGAAAAAGGATAGACAAGAACTGGGTAGTAAACCGGAAGAAAAACAATCAATTAAATTCCAGGAAGAAATTCAAAACTGATAAGCCACAGGCACAGCAAGCTGCATAGAAGTCTGTCACTAAATCCTGCACGAGCAGAGTAAACAACATGGAGACAGCAACTACAGCCATGGCAGGAGACTACAAGGCAGAAGCAAAGGTGTCCAACATCAAAGAGCCGAGGTCACATGTCAACTGCCTAGAGAAGCATTTGCACCACAGAGAAATGGCCTTGTGATTCACAACCACCAAAGCCAAAGGTAACTTGAGCACCATGCATAATGTCTCTGTAGGCTCTTTCTTCATGTAAAAGCATCATCGAAGTAAAGGCAAACACACTGAAAAATATCAAATTACTCTGGAAGCGATTGTTGCTCAGTTGTTAATCAAATTAAATTACACAAGTACCTCAATTGTTACTTCCCATATGAATTCTGAATCCTGTTGTACTCCACACACCTGTATCAGTGCATTGTGAATGATTTGAGTGTGTACTCTAAGTAGCATTCAAGAGACTGTTGCAGGCTCATCCCACATCATCATCCTGTCTGAAATCTAGTGCAATTACAATACAATTCCAAGATCCAGTATTCAATCATCTTAATTTTCCGTTATCAATGCCAATGAAAATTGGAGCTTCACACACTGCACTTTCAAGTTTAGCCACACCCAAATTAAAGGTAAGGTAAGGTAATTATCAGGAGAAAATGCCAAGCCACCATGAGTATATAGCACTTGGAAGGGATCATGATAAGGATTTGGAATGGAATGGGGGGGGGGTGGAATGGTACCCAGCCACTTAAGACGGTTGGGGATTGAACGCCGACCTGCATAAAGCAAGACCCTCGCTCTACTGTCCAGCCCAAGTGGTGCCCAAATTAAAGCTCCAAGCTCAATCAGCAGCAGTTCATCGATATCTGTGGGTCTTGCTAAGGTTATGCTCTTTTCAAGAAATTTTACATGTCTCATTATTAAAGTCTTCAAGAAAGTATCAGAAGAAGGCACTAAGCTGGGGTGACTATGTAGCAAAGCAGCCTGTTACTTCAGGCTTCAAAGATTACCATATCCAAATAAGCTGTTAATACTAGGTATTTGTTTTTAACTGAAATTTGGCAACTCAGTCCCTATTTATTCACATATTGCCTGAAACGCTATGCGTACTAGTGGCTTTAGGTATTGTATGTACTACCTCTATCTTTAAATCAAACAGAATGTTTGTACTGTAACGCTGCAACTATGTATGTACTGTTCCTAAATAAATTATTATTATTATTATTATTATTACATTATCAGGGTATTTCTGTACTAACAAGGTACACACATGAATCAGCACACACACATACTGGTGTACAATAGCCTACATGTAAAGACATAAATTACATATGGACAGACAACTGTTACAAACACACAAAATGGTTTTTCATTTTTCACAGATAGCAAGTAAATATAAAAAAAAAATACAAATATTTATTCAGGTAAAGTACATACATACAAGGTGAAATGCAAAAGTTGATGGATTCATAGATAGAGCTAGTACATACTAGCTATATATACACACAGTATATACACACACATAATATACACAGTATATACACATACATAATATACACAGTATATACACATACATAATATACACAGTATATTGACAAACATGGACAAGGATATACATGGGAATAGAGTGTATGTGGATATAGATATGGACAGGTTAACATATAGGCATAAATATGGATACATAACCGATATCCAGGGCGATGTAAATGTTAAATGGACGTAACGATCTTACCAAGAGGCTCAAAATTTACATATACTGGAGTGTTGGTCCAGTATGTTCCCCATTCAGCGGAGCTCTGGCAGCCTTCGGATATTTTGCGGAGAAGCCCCCTGGAATGTAAATCAACGTCTAAATGAACACTGTGGAAGGAAATTCGCATTCACAGAGTTAACTATATATCCCATTAACAGACAAACTGTATTTTATAATAATTTGTTATGACATTCTTGAGAGTTGTGGATGTTAAAGTAACATTGAGCATTTTTTTTTTACACAGGTGGGTGCAGAAGTAGACAACTGCTGACTCGTTAGCAGGCTGAGAGCTTTCCCATTCCCATAGTTCATTGTAAGCCTTGCCCTACCAGTTTCCCTGGAATACGACCCTCCAATCATTAGCAACCAGGTACTCAATCACAGGGTGAACAAAGGCGTACAGTTAAAGATTAGCGCATAGTCAATCCCCCCCTCCTCGGGCAGGATATGAACCCAAGGCAAATCACTCATAAAGCACAAGTGGAGTGTGTTACCACTGTGCTATCAGGAACCAGGGACCAGATGTAAAACAAAAATAACACTGACCGAGAAAGAACTCACACCATGAGATAGAGAGGAAAGCTACCATCCAGATGGTCAATGATGAGCTCTTGCAGGTGGGGAAAGTTCAACGTGTATTCTTTACCTGCGCATGGAAAACAATATACAATAAAACTTTGATAATTTTGACATTAAAGAATAATTAACAGATAACCAAAAATATCTTACTGATATGTCTTGTAACCATTATTGTACCACACATTCAAATCAAGCCTACCAGAAAAGCTCCGGGGAGCGCTGAAAACCTTGCGTGCGTGGTGGTTCGTGATAACCAGTTTCCGAAGTCCTGTGCAGTGGATAAGAAGCTCCAGTAGTGGCATGGGGTTAGAATATATCAGTATTTGTAAAGTTTGCAGTTCACTAAGAACATTTTTCACCTCGGCAAATCCACCAACCCACTGCTTTGCATTGTCGGTTTCCATGTCATCTGGCCAACTTATGGACAGATCTTGAAGCTGCAAAAAAATTAAATCAATAAATATATACATACATACATACATATAGTATAGTATATTGTATATAGTGTAACTGTGCTCACACTAATTTTTCACAATTCTTTGTCAAAGCATTTTTCTGGAATACAGTACTGTAGTGCAGCCTCAGAAGAGAATAAATACCATTCAAGGATGACTTGTAAGCTCCACACGTGCACTGGAATATTCTACCACCCAAATTTGGATTTTGTATATTTTATGGTGTACTTTATTATACAAAAATGGATTACAGTAATTACAAAAAACAAACACCGGAAGATATTAACCATCTGGCTGGAATAGGTTCTAGCACTTGCTTCACAAAAGTTCTTCACTACTAAAACAAGTTTTATCAAGTCTCAAAAAATGTTTCAACATTCCTGATCAGGAATTGAGTTAATAGGACCATTTTTTATTTTATTTTACATAATAACTTGCAATTTTATTTATTATTTATTTGCTGTATATGAATGTTAATAATGCAAAAAGTATCTTTAATTATTTTGATGGAATATAGGTAGAGTACATGGCAAAAGCATCCCACTTCATTAACAAAAACCTTTTGGCAATTATGCTTTTAGTCAAGTTTATAATGACATTCTATGTTCAATGTCTTTAGAACATTTTTTTTTTTTTTTTTTTTGATACAGTATATACAAGAGTTGTTACATTCTTGTACATTCTGAAGTGATATCGAGTTTCCTGGGCTATATTCTCACTATTTTGACATACTGTGTGCTCAGCTGTCTGTTCTACAATCCCATCAGAATAGATTTTTCAAAAACTTTATACATATGGAATTATAATTTTTTTCGGTCTAAATTAGCCGCATATTTCAAATGCCCTATTGACAATTTTTTTTACAGTAAACTATACTGAAAACCTATATTCTAATTTGATGAAAATGAAGATCATATGCTATTCCGAGAGAATAATACAGTAATACCAAATGAACAATTGGTGATAGTTCATATTTTTTATTCCAATTTGAAAATCTGAAGTTTTCAATATTCAATTTTAAAATAACAGTAATTTTCATTCTCTTGTTTTTCAAGTTCATTTAGACAAAGTTGGATTATTTGCCTAGTTGATTATGCACAAAAAACTGTTAAGTGTTTGTGCAAGTTTTAAAAACTTGAGTTATGGCAAATCGTTATTGTATGTTTTGCGTGGCTTAAGAGTTAATTTTGTTGGTTAACCGGTGAGCAGTTTTGATGCTAATAAAGATATATGCTTTATCTATTTCTAATAATGCACCATTTCCCTCTTAGTTACTGTGAAATTTTGATAATATAAGTACTGTATTACAATTTGACAATATAAGGACTGTACTGTATAAGTATATCCCTGCCTGAAACCCTGTGCGTGTTAGTGACTTTGAATGAATGTAAAAATACCAATCTTATGTAATCTCACCAACCCATTGTACCTTCTTGAAAATAAATTATTATTATGATTACTACTACTACTGTATAAGTATGATCCTTGTGTGTATATGTATGTATTAACATGATGAACTGAACGGGGTGAGAATAGCTTGAGCTACCTCATCCCTTTGTGTGTATTTTACCTCAATAAACTTATTTCAATTTCAATATGATCTTCTGCACTTATGCTCAGACATAAATAAATAAATTTTTGTTGCAAGCAATGTATAAAGTCATTCACCATGTAAAAGCTTCAAACTATGCTAGGCCGCCCTACATTGGAGAGGCAAATGTGAGCACTTGTACCTGGATTGGGTTCTGGGAGCCCAAGTCTACTACTTGGGCTCCTAGGTACCCAACCTGGGAGCCTACTTTTCTGCTCCCCAAAGTCCAGCCTGGAACCAAAATAGATTGGCAAGTGCTTGGTTCAACAGGCTGTTGTTTGAAGCGGCCCACAGCCCCACATATCCACTACAGCCTGGTTGGTCAGGCACTTCTTGCAGTAAACTATCTGTCACAATATAAGAGTACAGGAACCTGAAAATAAGTAGGCCTTATTTTGTATGCAGCAATAGCTATCTACCATACAAAGTAATTCATACCTTTGTGCAAGCTATGAGAATCCACTTGAGTTGTAAAAATGTCAAAGGTGTTCCTGCCATATGCAGTGATTCTACATTTTTCAGCTTCACCACAAAGCTGGGTAATTTGATCCAGTATACGTGGTCTAAATTGATTTGCTGGACATTCCGACATCTTGTACGAGGGAGAAAGAAGGTCTTGAAGTCCTCAGTTGTGCAATTATAGACTTTTCTCAAATCTAAATACCTGAAGAAGAATACTACAATTAAAATACTACATACTAACAATAAATACCGTTTAGACAATCTGAAAATAAGGTTCATGAAAACTTTATGGAAAAAATAACAGATACTTTTTCACCTATGTTGTTATAAACCCACGGAAACGCCTAAATGCCGAAGCCATAATGCCAAAACTCTAGTTAAATTTTTTAATTCAACTGGAAAAGATCATTAGAACAAATGAGGAGACCTATGACAAGCCACCGGCTTCCTGTCCTCATCGAGGCCACTAATACTAATGACCCTCAGGTAAATATATGTATAAAAGATTTGCCCATACCACGACTGAATGACCCTTCCCCCCCTCCCCAGTACCCCACATTTCCTCTCACCTAACCACGTCTCGGTCACTAACTAGACTGCTGAACCGGTTGCTGACGCAGGACACCACCAGCAGGTCCCGGCAGGAGAGGTGACGCAGGATTCTCAGCAGGATCTCGTCAGGGAGCTGGTCAATGTTGGCCTCCATAGCCACTTTGTTGACATGCCGCCATTCACAAGTCATGTATAATATATACTCATATCATATATACACTATATATATACATATATATATATATATATACAACTCACATCATATATCCTCCTTCATATTTCACAAGAGTGAAAATTTACACGTAAAGACAGATACTGAGTTAGTTAGTATCGTATCATTAAGTGGGTGAATAAACTTGTATCATTAAGTTGGTGAGTTAATCAATTTTATTAATTGGGGATTTATCATTACTCGGTGAATTAATTAATTAAATTATTGATGATTATCGGTTATTAAATTGGTGAATTATCTTGTATCATTAAGTTGAAGAATTAACTTAAAGTGATATAAATATGGCTTACCTCAGACTCGAAAGTGATCTGCCTAATAACAATTTCAGTAGTTATTGGGATACAGAATTATAATAATAATAATAATAATAATAATAATAATAATAATAATAATAATAATAATAATAATAATAATAATAATAATAATAATAATAATAATAATTTATTTACAAGAAGGTACAATGGGTTGGCGAGATTAAATTAGAAGTAATTTACATTAGATGTAAAAAGAATGTATATTTTTTACATACTAGTAAAGCCACTAACACGCATAGCATTTTGGGCAAGTCATTAATCTAACATATCAGGTAAAGTGAAAAGGCACATTGTAACAAGATTTTTATAACAATATAAATTGACAAGAGGTGATTACACAGCTAAAGATGAAGTACTTAATTAGTCTTAAGTACTAATATTGGGGAAAGTGGGTAGTACAAGATATAGTGGGAGTTTGAAGCACACGGTAGGAAACTATGAGGATGAAAATAGGTATTTTTTGGTTTTACTTTTGAACAGGTGATCTATCTTGAGATGATTTCGGGGCTTTAGTGTCCCCGCGGCCCGGTCCTCGACCAGGCCTCCACCCCCAGGAAGCAGCCCGTGACAGCTGACTAACACCCAGGATAGGTAACAGGGGCAGTCAGGGTGAAAGAAACTTTGCCCATTTGTTTCTGCCTGGTGCGGGAATCGAACCCGCGCCACAGAATTACGAGACCTGCACGCTATCCACCAGGCTACCAGGCCCCTAAGTGTTATACACTTAGGACCAAAAGTGCTTATAGCTCGGCCCTGTGACACTTCACCCAGACAAAGTGTTGAAGGCTTGAGTTACATTCCCCCAACAAAATACAAGGCTGAAAGGTACATTGTCACGAACAATGGAACAATTTGCATGAGGAAATAGAGAGCAACAATAGACAATAGGAAGGTGAAGTAAACTCTGGAAGGGAGAGTTTTTTAGTTTACTTTCTGCCACAGATGTGGCCATACAATGCTAACCAGCATATACGAATTTTCTTCAGTTAGAGATCCGTTAGACATCATATAGTGTAGTGAGTTACTAATATAAGTACAAATAGGAAAGTACTGAACAGGGAAAAGGGGGGGATACCTAACGAACAGAAAACAAAGACTCACGGCCAGAGACGAGGTTTCAAGCTGGAGAAATGTAACAATTAAGTGGCGGGTCCCACAAGGCTCTGTCCTGGGATCCCTGCTGTTGACCAGACCACACACTAGAAGGTGAAGGGACGACGACGTTTCGGTCCGTCCTGGACCATTCTCAAGTCGATCGATTCTCAAGCCCCTGCTGTTCTTAATTTACATGAATGACCTGCCCCGAGGAAGTGAACTCAGACAGATGAGGAACGTAAAAAAAGAGGATGACTGTAGGAAGTTACAGGAGGACCTTGACAAACTCCACGAGTGGCCAGACAAATGGTTGCTGGAATTCAATCCCAATAAGTGTAATATAATGATAACAGGGGGAAGAAGGGGGGGAGGAAGGTTGTAATGGAAGGAGGAATGGTAGTTATTAATGCTGATACTTGAAACCGGTTGTCATACGATGATACAAGGGGGCGCAAGGCGCCCTGTTTGATTAGATTAGATTAGAAAGTTACAGTGGGAACGTGACAGTTCGGTAATGATAAAGTCTGCGCACTTTACTGGTTAACCTCTCTTCTGCCTCCCGGTCACCCTATACTCTGAACTACCGCGCTACAACCACTGCCTTCACACCGCAAGGAAAGCTTCCTTCACCACATAAGAAACACTTCCTTCACCCCGCAAGAAACACTTCCTTCACTGTTTGTCAAATAAAGATAATGAACTTAAAAGATTCCTTTACACCCGCAAGATATAATGTAAGTTTAGGGGTTGATAGATGTTAATCTTCTTGTTTGAGGAGCTGTTCACTTGAGACAGTTAAGCAAGTCCCAGCTGTGTCTGGGTACAAGTGACAGGATGAACAACCCAGCGGGTTTTCTTCCTATTGGGGAGTGTTGTACATGCTGCTATGGCGGTATGTCCACTCACAGGATGAGTGGCGCTGCCCCATATATATATATATATATATATATATATATATATATATATATATATATATATATATATATATATATATATATATATATATATATATATATAATTTACCTACAGGCCACCCCAAGAAAAACAGAAGCAAGCAACACTTAGTGGGCCAGCCAGAGGCTTAGGGCCCGCGCAGGAATATCCCTGCAAAACAAAAAAAAACAAAAAAAAAAATATCCAGTAGCCTCTGCCGGGGACAGGAAGCCGGCTTGTCAAAGATCCCATTGTTCCTGGGATATCTTTTCCAACTGTATTTCAAACTGAAGTAATATCTGGATATTTACGGCTTCGGCGGGTAGGCGGCTCCTTGGGTTTATAACCAACTTCCTTACCTTCCAGGGCACAGAACAACGGTTGGGCTTTGTTTTCTACTCACAATAAGGGAATCCCGGGTTCGAATCCTCCTATGATGGGCACATGAGCTGTATGTAAAGGAATTCCACGTGTCTAAGGTGATTGACGGGGTCCAATGCTGGTCGGAAAAGTGTTTTTGTTAAAGATTCAGCTACTCGGAACAAGTGCCAAGTAGCACGGGCTATGGTGAGCCCGTAATTCGGTCGGAAGGTGTTTGGTTCCGGTTGTATACTGCTTGTTAGTGCGTCTGATGGGGGGTGAGGTGTGAGGAATGTCTGTATGTCTGTCTGTCTGTCTGTCTGTCTGTCTGTCTGTCTGTCTGTCTGTCTGTCTGTCTGTCTGTCTGTCTGTCTGTCTGTCTGTCTGTCTGTCTGTAAGGCACTAATTGGCGCCTCATAAACCTGTGGCAACGCCGCTCATGTTGGTGACTTGGCATCGCCGCTAAATAAATGTCAGCGAATGGAATTAATTAACAAATCATACTCAAGACGATTCAATAAGACTCGCTTTTAACAAACCCGTAAATATATATTGTTAGGTATTACCTTAGGTTAAGGTAGGCTCGGTTAGGTTGGCTTGGGGAAGGTTAGGTTGGCTTGGGGAAGGTTAGGTTAGGTTGGGGAAGGTTAGGTTAGGTTGGGAAGGTTAGGTTAGGTTGGGTGAGGATAGGTTAGGTAGTTGCCTAAGTACCTCTACTTATTCACTGCTAGGTGAACAGACAGAGCCAACAAAAAAAGAAGCATGAGGTGAAAGGAAGCGTGCCCAACCGTCTCTGTCCCGCTCATGGGATTGATCCTGGAATCCTCGTTTGTGAGCCCAGGACGCAGACCACTGTGCTACAGCTTACAAAACTTAATCCTTTATTAAAGTCTTATTTAGAATGATAACTCAGCATACTTGCATGATAAGGCCAGAGATATATGTCAACAATCTAAGAATAAGAACCTCATGAATCAATTAAATTACAATCAATTACACTTAAGGCCTATAGTAATATCTGAAGGGTTATTAAGGCCTATCAATCACGGGAGGGTTATTAAGGCCTATCAATCACAGGAGGGTTATTAAGGCCTATCAATCACGGAAGGGTTATTAAGGCCTGCCAATCACAGGAGGGTTATTAAGGCCTATCAATCACAGGAGGGTTATTAAGGCCTATCAATCACAGGAGGGTTATTAAGGCCTACCAATCACAGGAGGGTTATTAAGGTCTACCAATCACAGGAGGGTTATTAAGGTCTTACAAATATAATGCTTTAGTTCCGCCTCCTAATGCCCACCAGATCTGAACTATTCAGGACCAGAGTGACTACAAAACACAGGGTTTAAAAGGGTAAATACAGAACAGCAATTTGTAATTTAAATCATTGTTTTTAGCCATTTCCTAACCTCAAGAGAATATTCCAATCAAACAGAGATTATTTATAAAACCATAGAGGTGAGTTTGCCAGCCTTAAAACAAGGGATTGGCGTCCTTGTTGGGTTGTTGGGTTGTATAGTGCTTGTGCTCGCCAAGGGCTGTCACCTACGTCAAGGGTGACCTGTAGTTGACATTAGTAAGCATTACCAGTCGGTACAGCACCACTCCTGTGCCAGGTAAGTCCACTACGGGGCTCACCATAGCCCGTGCTACTTGCACCACTCCTGTGCCAGGTAAGTCCACTACGGGGCTCACCATAGCCCGTGCTACTTGCCCCGCTCCTGTGCCAGGTAAGTCCACTACGGGCTCACCATAGCCCGTGCTACTTGCCCCGCTCCTGTGCCAGGTAAGTCCACTACGGGCTCACCATAGCCCGTGCTACTTGCCCCGCTCCTGTGCCAGGTAAGTCCACTACGGGCTCACCATAGCCCGTGCTACTTGCCCCGCTCCTGTGCCAGGTAAGTCCACTACGGGCTCACCATAGCCCGTGCTACTTGCCCCGCTCCTGTGCCAGGTAAGTCCACTACGGGCTCACCATAGCCCGTGCTACTTGCCCCGCTCCTGTGCCAGGTAAGTCCACTACGGGCTCACCATAGCCCGTGCTACTTGCCCCGCTCCTGTGCCAGGTAAGTCCACTACGGGCTCACCATAGCCCGTGCTACTTGCAACTTGTCCCAGTAGGTGAACCTATAACAACAACACTACCATTACCCCCGCATACAACCAGGTGAATACAACTTGTGTCATTGACAAGTCCAGCCTAATGGGACGTGTCATACCCTTGCCCGCCCTGACGGCTGACCCAACCCGCGGGCATGTCTGTC